AACAACCAAGTGCGATTAAACATTTTCATATCATGTTCTTCTTTCCCCACTCTCCCTTCCTGATACTGCTTAATGTGTGATTCCTTGTACAAATTCGAGGGGCTTTTTCTTTTCCTCAAGAAGAGTGAGGGGGGATTTGAGAGCAGCCTTCAACTTCCTGTAGAGAGGTTCGAAAGAGGATGGAGAGAGGCTGTTCTCAGTGGTGCCAGATGGCCGAACAAGGAGCAATGGTCTCAAGTTGCAGTGGGGAAGGTCCAGGTTGGATATTAAGAAAAACTATTTCCTTAGGAGGGTGGTGAAGCACTGGAATGAGTTACCTATGGAGGGGGTGGAATCTCCATCCCTAGAGGTTTTTAAGTCCCGGCTTGACAAAGCCCTGGCTGGGATGATTTAGTTGGGGTTGGTCCTGCTTTGGGCAGGGGCTTGGACTCAGTGACTCCTGAGGTCTCTTCCAGCCCTAGGATTCTAGGATATCATCCTGCTTTTAGGATTGTCAACCCTCCAGAATTGTCCTAGAGAAAGGATCGGGGTCCTAAGGCCCGGGGGGCCAGATATGTCCGCTGGCTTGCCTGTATCTGGCTCCCAAAACTCAGTGCTCCCCCCCAGGTATTGGGGATCCTGTGCTGGTGCTCCAGGCCTTCCCCTCGCGCTCTCCCTTCCCCGCAGGGCTGGACCACACAAAATCTACTAGCCTGGGCCCCCAGAAGCTCTGGTGTGTGAGGGGAACGTGGGGAATGACCTTTTGCTTCTCACTTGCGTACAGCCCCTGACAGATTTTTTTTGTAGGTCAGTGGCCGTTGGCCCAAAAAAGATTCCCCACTCCTGTCATAGTCTCATCTGCTGAAACCTCCAGGAATACATCCAACCAAAATTAGCAGCCTTTACACTTCATTGAGTTTATAATTGCCTTGAACAGGTACTTCCATAATAATAATATGCTTAACCTGTAGCTGAGTGGCAGTCAGAAAAGGTTGAAAACTTCAAAGAAAGTGGAAAGAAAAAAAATGTCCAAAGTGAAGCTTTTGCAGTTCAATTCCCATTAGACTATGAAGAACGTAGCAGCACCGGTTGGAGAATAGCTTTGGGAAAGTAATTTTTTTTATCTATATAGCACAGTGATAACAGCACAGTCTTACATTGTAGGGGAATTCAGTTTTAGTTAAGGGCTATATAAAAGACTGGCAAGGTGAAATGACACGCCACCTCTAATAGAAAAACACAGAAGTCAAAGACAGATCTAAGCTTTTATTTTTAATAGACGAAAACAATTTCTCTTACATGAGAAGACAGTAATTGGCATATAAACCTCACACTTGCAGAACCACGAAAAAAGGAAGCTTCAGAACCCTGTTCCATTTTTACACGATTGAGATCTCCAGCCCAGGGAAGTTGCATCCCACAGCACAAAGAGAAGAAACCTGACCCCAAACGATTGGAAAGTTACTATGACACATTTGTGCCTAATTTCAGTCATGTGAAGTGTGCTTTTGGGTACAGTGTCTTTCACAGCTAATGTGAATTCTGAAAGGGCACTGTTGCGGCCTTGATTCGAGGAATGTGTCCAGTAAAGGGCAGTTCTGACCCTAGGACTCCCCTGTGGAACCATTTCCATGGTTGCTAAAGGAGTATTATGAGTCCATCTGGGTTGTGGCATGGGGGATTTAGTTGAGGATTATGTCGGTCAGTGTTTGGTGGGAGGGAAATGGTTTTCTGAAGCAATGGAGCAGTTCTAATTGTGCATTGGCACAGAGCTGACCCTTGTCCCCTTGCATTGTTGGGACTCAGTCTGAAATGACATAATTTTATAAAGCAAGCTGTTGAACGAAAGAAGTAAGCATGCACTGTAGCTTGCTTTAGGTTTATTCTGCTTTTTAAAAATGTATTAACTATTATATATGTTAATTTCTGTTTCCTGCTGTATTTTCCATCTACTAATATTGAATACCCTTCCTTTATTATTTCATTTTATTTTAATGGAAACATTTTTCTGTTACACTCATAGGGGTAAGATGGAAATCAGTGCATGTTTTAGTTCAAGTTGCTGGTTGTGGTGAGCTTTAAATTAACAAATGTAAGAGCCTGATTTTCATTTGAACAGATCCATACCATTGAGCACCTTTGACACTGCAGGATATGCTGAATTTGCAGCTACTTCTCAGTACAAAATAGGCCTAGTTAGTTGTTTGTCTCCAAGATGGGACGTGGATATTGAGAGGTTTAATATTTTTTGCTTGAGTAAGAGAAGTTTAAACCAAATTATACTGTGCGGCATTCATTGAGATGTGCCTTGTGATTGTGTTTTGGATCAAAATTTCCTAGACAGATCTGTTCCTTCGTCAGTCTTGATTAGCATACTGTGACAGTTCGTGTAGGTATTTCAATGTGCCTAGCTTTCTATTTATTTATATTTAATTGGGATGTGCTTTGATCAAATGCCTTATTAAAGTGACCATATTCATAGTTGTTGTTTTTAATTCATGATGAAAGACCTTTTCGTGGTTAGTGCTTGTTATTGAAAGTTGCACGTTCCACTTACTTGTATAGTAGAAGTTTGATGTTTCAGTCCTTTTCTTTTTGAGTGTTATATGTAAACTGTATTTCAGCATGGGAATAATTGGAGTGAGACACCAAGGTGATAAAATGAAATGAATTGTGTGTATTAATGAGATCACTCCATCAGTGAACTTGGTTTCCTGTTACACAGCTCAGTAACAGTCAAAGTGTAATGTAACATGGGGGAAAATGGCCACAGTGTGAGATCACTTCCACCGTGTGCTTCATGAGCTAGGTTGGCCATAATTAAAGATCAAACACAGATTATTTAGTTTTTTTCTCTTGATTTTGTTTTCTTGCTCTTCTGTGTTCCAGTTCTTCATCAATTCCAGTTTAATATTGTCTACGTCTGAACTTCCTTACAGAACTTTTTCTCTCTTCAGTTTTCTTAATATTTTGGTTTCTTTCCATTCTTTTGTGTGTATTTTCAGTAGTTTTCTATCTTAATTCATTGTTCAATTACTTTCTTTGTCTCTTCCCTCTGCCATGGTAAATGACTTCCTGTTTGCCTGCTGTTATTTTCCCATCCACTCCCTCAGGTAAAGAACTTGGTGTTTTCCCTCCCTGCCTCCCTCTCTCTCTCTCTCTCTCTCTCTCTCTCTCTCTCCATGAACTCCAGGTTATGCCTCCATCCATCTGGTTTTTTTTCCTTCCACTGTTCCCTCTGGATTACTCAAGATTGCATGCTCAAAAAATTTCCCCCATCACCTGTGTTAGTTTCATTTCTTCATGAGGGTCTCTCCTGCTACTCTGTCACCTGCATTAATTGTGTTTCTCCTTAGCAGGGTTGTAAGTACCTAGAAAAAATTTCTTTGCGGTGCCACCACATGAGAGAGAGAGAAAGCTGTACAAATTAGTGTTAAAGCAGAAACAATCCAACATTAACTGCTGCATTTCCCTGCCTGCGCTGTGGGCTGAGCTCTAATACAGCAGAGCAATCCACAAATAGCAGTTGACGTAAAGGAATCCAGGAGCTATACATTAATAACACTGTAATCCACAATTACATGGAAAATCCATTCAGACAGAAATTTATTATTTATCATTTATTTTATAGTGCCCACAAGTGTACTAGGTGCTTGATCTTTGCTCAACTTAGAGTTTATTTTTATGGCCATATATTTGATTGAGTGCCACCATTAAAATATGAATTTCGAGGGAGATATAATTCAGTATAAAAGCTTCTCAAGTTAGGCCTAGTGGACAGAGAAAATGTTGACACAGACGATATTTTGTTGGGCTAAGCTGCTTTCTTGAAAACAAATTGAAGGGCTGCTACGTACTGGTGGTGTTCCAGGTAGCTTTTGATCAATATTTTTTGGCAGAAAGAGAATAGAAATACAAAGTTCTGGCAGCCAGTATCAAGCAGGGGTTGGTCCTGGGGGCAGTTTTGTTCAAAGTCTTCATTAATGATCTGGATGATGGGTTGGCTTGCACTTTGAGCAAGTTCGTGAATGACTCTATACTGTGGGGAGACGTAAGGGGTAAGGTCCAGAGTGACTTAGACAAATTGGAGGATTGGGCCCAAAAAAATCTGATGAGGTTCAACAAGGACAAGTGCAGAGTCCTGCATTGGGGACAGGAGAATCCCAAGCATTGTTACAGGCTGGGGACCAACTGGGTTATGCACAAAAGGTCCTGGGGATTACAGTGGATGAGAAGCTGGATAGGAGTCAACAAGGAGCTGCCCTTGTTCCCAAGAAAGCTGTCAGCATATTGGGCTGCATTAGTAAGAGCAGTACCAGCAGATCTAGGGAAGGGATTATTCCCCTCTGCTTGGCTCTGGTGAGGAGCATTGCTTCCGGTTTTGGGCCCTCCACTACAGAAAGGATGTGGACAAATTGGAGAATCCAGCAGAGGGCATCGAAAATAATTAGAGGGTTGGGGAACATGACTTATGAAGTGAGGCTGACAGAACTGGACATACTTAGTGTGTAGTAGAGAAGGGGGGGGAAGGATCAGATTTGATAGCAGCCTTTAACTACCTGAGGGGGGAGGGGTTCCAAAGAGGATGGAGAGAGGCTGTTCTCAGTAGTGACAGGTGGCAGAACAAGGAGCAATGGGCTCAAGTTATAGTGGGAAAGGTCTAGGTTGGATATTAGGAAAAACTATTTCCCTGGGAGGGCAGTGAAGCACTGGGCTGGGTTCCCTAGGATGGTGGTGGAATCTCCATCCCTAGACCTGGCTTGACAAAGCCCTGGCTGGGATGATTTAGTTGGGGTTGATCCTGCTTTGAGCAGGCAGGTAGACAAAATGACCTTCTGAAGTCTTCCAACGCTAATCTTCTATGAAAACGAAGAGATGGAGAAGCTTGTCAGGAAGTGGCACTAGAATGTTGTTAAATATGTGATAAGTCTCTGCTGCCCTTGGCTTCGGATGGCTGTGCATTTGCAAAAGATCATGTTTAATTCCTTTCTCTGCCTTTTTCCCCTCCTCCTCTCTAACAGGGTGTGCTGCTAAAGCGAAGTGGCAAGTCATTGAATAAAGAATGGAAGAAGAAATACGTTACATTGTGTGACAACGGTGTACTGACCTATCATCCCAGTTTACATGTAAGTAAACCACACTCTCTGCAGTCAGTATTTGTCAGACCGCAGATCAAGTACTGGAAGCAGGCTCAGCTGGACAGAGTTTGATAAATATCCTCTCTCTGGTGGGGGAAAAAAATTCCTGAAGCTATGAACCTGTGGGCACACTGTGGAGCTAAAATTCCATAGTCTGATTTATGTACCACCTAAGTAACCTGCCTTTATGCATCTGGCTAGTTGTTCAGTAGATGTAAGAGTTTATTTTGTGTTGGGCTTCTTCTCGAATGACTAAATATCAGGCTTTTAAGAGCTGATGCTTCTTGGCTTGGGACAGGTGATCTGAATGCAATAAAGGGGTCTACGTTTTGTCTAGCGTATCTGTTTCCAGTGTAGGAGTGCTATCAGAGGCAGCAGCACGGGGGAGGGGAAACTCTGTGTAACTGAAGGCTAACCAGTGAGCTCAGGCTCACGCCAGGCAGCTCAGAGAGATGCCTGGGAGAGGTATGATGCTTTCCAGGCAGTGCTGAAGGCTGCCTAGCCCAGGCCCCACCCCATCTCTGGGGCACAGAGAAGACCTCCTTTGTCTTTCCCAAGAGCCCGGTGAGGCTGCCAGTGTCGCTCTGGACTGCCCACCCTCTTCCACTCTACTTCAGAGCTCACAATAGGACTCCACACAAAGGAAGGAAATGAGGGGATTAGGTCACACACATGCTAGATGAGGTATCGATAGTGCCATGAGACAGGCACTATGTCTGTACAACCTGTAGGGGCACTGCTACTAAAACTCTCCAAGCAAAGGCGCAGGGATGCAATGGTACCTGATGGGGTGTGCTCTCAGGAAGACACATCTCAAAGATCCTCATTTACTGCACGAGGTGAGTAACCTCTTCTTCAAAGCTCTGTAGTTGTGGTTCCCTACTGTGCAGCACTTGGCAATCCTTTCAGAATAGTGGGGATGAGAGAGAGCGTATGGGGGAGAAATAAATGAAAAGGCAATTTCAGTCCCTTTCTACTGCACTTCAAGTTGATGCAAAAGTTGCAGGGACAGGACTCATTAAAATATTTAATCTGTTCTTTAAGCACTGACAACATGTTTGGCAATGTCTCGTCATACCAGGTTGAGGGTCACATAATGATCACATGTTTATTAGATATGTTCAGCAGCCTGTGAGAAATGATTCAGTAATTCTGGGCCATTTCCAACCAAAACGTTTGACACACAACCCGGTATCAAACTTGGCACCCTTGTAGACAGTCTAGACAGAGAAACAATATATCACAGGGGTGTGGAAAGTGAACTAGCATCTGAGTTCTAGAGTTGGTGCCTCCGGAAGACTTGAGAGTGTATGGCGGGGCAGTTTGGGGAAGCTTGAGCTATACTTAGCTGTCTAAATAAGTAACTTCAGTTGCTCACATCAGCCTGACACCTTTCACGGTCAGAACATGCATTCTCTTTCTCTTAAAGGAGAAAATACATACACAAGCAACCTACGTTTTCAGGACTTTGTGCTGGCAGTTTTTTTCAAGAACCTTAAACCTTCCCTTCGTGTGCCTAAGGGACTACCTTGATAGAAAACTGGAGGGGATAATGAGAGAGAACTTTGACCTGCAGGTTTCACAGTTCACTGTGTCTGCCTATTCATCTTGCATGTCTGTCTTGCCTTCACAAAGGGACCCAGGAGAGTTTGTGTAGGCATCTCTCGGTTCCTAATGGCCTAGTGCTATGCATCCGGGCTCCCTGTGTATATTCTCTAGGATACTTGCTGGGTAGTGCTATTTTAATGGTGAAGGACAAGTTTGTGTTTGAAGCCTCTTTATCTGAGTGTCATCCTGATGAATACCTATTTTGACACCCATCTACCTTTTTGGGGGTTTTGCCAGCATGCCACAGGTCAGCAGCTGACCCAGTGTTAGCTGTAGTTATCCCCAGTATAAAATGTTCTGCCCCGGGCACACTTCAGTTCACTTTGCCAGTTCTAAGAAAAAGAAATGAAAACGTAATTTTTTTCTGAGGTGATATTCCTTTATTTTATGTTTGAGTCCGTTTCTTTCTGTATTTCTGCATTTACATCCATACACAGTTCTTGGGTAGGTTGGGGGGAAAGGAAGGTTTTAGAAATACACAACATTGTTATCCGAGTTATGTAGAGCATGTGATTCGTGGAAAGGGCTTTGCATCAGTTCTTAGAACTGTCGTATTTCAAGACACAGCTTGTATCTCCCACCATGCAAAAGGCAGGAAGTGCTAACATCTCTGTAGAACAGGGCTACTCAACTTTAGAAGCCCAGGGGCCACAGTGATACTCATAGCACATGCCAAGGGCCGCAACTTAAGTGTGGTTTCAAATACATGCAAATATATGCAAATAGTTTCTTTCACACTGATGGGCATGAATACAAAGATTAGGGTAAGGCTACACAACACACAGTCACTTCTGCTGATATTAATAAAATGCGATATTTACCCGATTTCCGCCCACACAACAACACTTTTAATGAGCAATGACAGTCCAGGAATTTAACTACTAAAACACAAATCAGCAGAAGACCATTATATTGACTACTTTTTTGTTTTGGCTCCCACCCATGGGCCACGTGTTGGGGCCCCACGTAAATCCAAACTGCACCACGGGCCGCATGTGTGTTGAGTAGCTCTGCTATTGCAATAACAGTGTATGAAACTTCTATATGCTTCATGCACCTGTGCTCTGATCTATTGTGTTGACACTCACCTTGTGAGGAGACAGCCTAAAACTACCACAACAGTGCCTGGGCCTGTGAAATTCTACAGGCACTGACTGATCTCCTAAGAGCCAGTTAGAGTTTAAATGAGGATCCCTGTAAGGACTGTTGAAATGTGACATGTGTGGCTCAACTCCAGCAATTTTCTCCTTATATTTGGCTTTGGTTTTTCAGCATTACCGCCTCAAATTATGTAATTAAATAAAGCTACGGCTCTGTTTAAAAAAATCCTTGGCTTAATGCTTCTTCAGAAAAGCTTGAAGATGTGGACTTCAAAAATTCAATGGCCAGTAAGAACCCAAAATATGTTGTTTTTAAACCAACTTTATGCTTCTGATAACCTGTTCAGTGAATTCTGGAGGTATGGGGACTAGCAATGCCCGAATCTTGTGGTTGGCCTGTCTTTGTAGTATTTATTGTATTGGCCAACTAACTATATGAGTAACTTCTGTGCAGACATATTGTCTGGTTCTTCTCTTGGTCTATAATGTGTATTCTCTCGAATAGTTTTGCTGTCCTGTGGGATGTTGGATTAACAAACTCACCCACACTCTCTCTGGTCGTCATAGTCGCTACAAAATAGTTTACAAATATCTAGAATTGTATTTTCATTTGAAGCAAAGTCTGAAATCTCTTGAAGGGCAGAAGCAATCATAAAATGAAACCTCGTTCAATAGGTCTAGGAATTGACCCAAAGATGGCTTGTTTGATTTTTCATACTGCTATGTATCAATTAGGATGCAGATATATTCTTTGAAAGTTTCTGCAGTCAGGGCAGACGCTGAGAGAGAACAATCCAGAGTGATTTTAGAGGCCAAGAATGGAAATATATGTTTGACAAAATTATCAGTGCTCAAATTTGTTAGTTATTTTATCCATTCGTATGTATGAAACATTGAACTAAATGGAAAAGCAGAAAGACATGAAAAATATACAACATTGTGACTAATCCTGGCTGTGTATTTGAGAGGTTGATACCATACATCTTTCTCTCACAAATAATTGTGGACCAGTTTAATAGCTCTGTCCTAAAAGCTTGTCCAAACTAGCACACTGCTTTGTGATGTCATTAGTTATAATTTCTCTGGGCAGCATTTCTTAATTCTGTCATACTTTGATTCATTGCTACTGCTATTTTCTAGAAACTACACAACCTCTTCAGAAACAGTGCTAATTAGAGGCTGTGCTACATTCCCCTCTTATGCCATGATAGTATGGGATCTCACTCATCACCATGGTGTGTTTTCAACCAATATGTATGTCGTGTGGGATAGCATGTGCCTATGTATAAGAAACAAAGGGGCTGGAAAACCACTAGCAGTGACTGCTGCATGAGATCACCCATGCAGTTTGTTGTTGGCTAGGAGATAGGCTGCTTTCTTTACGTGAACGGGTGCTGCAGTAAGGAGAAGTTTGGAAAAAAAAGCCCACCTAATGCTATACCTGCTGTCCTTAAGGTAAGACTTGCAATGTGGAAAAACTGTCAAGCTAAGTGCATTTTAAATCCTAACGATCTTAAACAGCATCCCTTCAAAATGAGCCTACCCCTAAATGAAATCGCCATTGCACCTGCTATGCCAAGGAAAAAATCATGGACATAATCAAATGTGGAGTTCTCAGGATCCTGTATAACGGTCAGTAAGCTGCACCATAAGACTCCCACTTAAGCAGTCTGTACTTCTGTCAAGCTAAGTGCATTTTAAATCCTAACGATCTTAAACAGCATCCCTTCAAAATGAGCCTACCCCTAAATGAAATCGCCATTGCACCTGCTATGCCAAGGAAAAAATCATGGACATAATCAAATGTGGAGTTCTCAGGATCCTGTATAACGGTCAGTAAGCTGCACCATAAGACTCCCACTTAAGCAGTCTGTACTTAAG